TCACATTTTTCTGTTCTATTAATTCCGAATATATTTCAGTATCCGTTTCAAGTTGTATTAGTTTATTAGATTCAATAGAATCCGATAATATTCCTGAGTCAGTTTCACCTCCTACTGATTTACTACATTCAACTGTATTTTGTACTGTTTCTATTTCAATTTCATTTATATCTGTATTATTAGAATTCGATAGTGAACTAGAACTTTCTATATGTGATATGCTTTCACATTCCGAATTAATATTTGTTTTACTATTAGAATCGTTAAATTCACCGAAGTCTGCATCAGATTCACTGTTTGATTTTTCTAAATCTTTAGTTCTATTTAACGAATTGTCCGATTTATTAAAAAGTAAAGAATATCGATATTTACATTTTTTAGATTTTTTCCGAACGGGACTTTGTTCAATTTTTTTCCAATTGATTCAATTTTCCAAGAATTGGTATATGTACTTTGCAATCTTTTACGTTTTAATTGAGATAATTTGTATTTTTTCAATATCTTGTGCACATCAATGTTTTTTCTTTTCTTATTTTCAGAAAAATCAATCATTTTCTTCCATAATTCAATGAAATTGAATTGCATGGAATTATTTATATCATACATGGACAGAGTATTTGGATAATGTTATGGCAACAATTATTACTCTGATCACACTTTTTTTTATTCAATTTTCTTTTTACTTTCTTTTCTAATGTATCAATCCTCTTTTGTAATGAGGAAATAATCGCCAAAGAGGAATCTGTTGTTACAATATTTGCACAAGAAGTATTGTTATTAGTTTTATTTGAATTTATTAATGACAAAGAATTAATTGATCTCGATTCAATATAATGAGCACTTTGATTCATTAAATTTGATGTTGGAGAAAAAGTATTACAATAATCTGTATGATTTAATGAAACTGTACGAGGAGGTAATAAATTCGTAGAATTGAAATTTATATGACTATTCTGATTTTGTGAATGTGAAGAAGAAGTATCTGACAATATCGGTAAATTTTCTGTTTTATATTGTTCATTGTTTATATCTAAAAGTATATAAATATAAAATTATTATTAAATCCATTATTACACATTAGACAATTTAATATCTTACCTATTGATATTTCTATAGGAGATATAGATCTTTTTGATGGAGATGAGATTTTTTCAATCAATTTTGGGCATGAATTGCTCATAATTTTACATATTTTTTCAAGGGGAGGCGGTTCTAATAGAATTTCGCAATTGCTACAAAATACAGGATATAAATCATTCTTGACATTATAAAATTCGTCGGTTAGTACAGATTTTTCAGTAACTTCTGGTTTTTGTATTATTATATCTTTAGTCAATGTTGTATTGATTCCAACATCTTTTAATTTTGTTCTATAACAAGAAATCAGATTATATCATTTAAAAATATTAATATTATCATTTATCATATTAATTATTAAATTTTTAATTTTATTTAACTTACTATTTTCACATTCTGTAGATAATTTTTTTTCTATTTTTTTCATTTTCATATCGTATGATTTTTTAACAATTTTTAATTCCTGTTCCAATTCTTTGATTCTTACTACAAAAAGAATGAACTTTTTTTTTTTTTTTTCTAAAAAAAAATATTTAAATTTGCATTATAACATACCTTGAAGTGAAGATTTTTCTAAGTCATATTGCATTATTTTGTCATTTTGATTTTCCTCTGTATCTTTTATTTTACAAATTAATTGTTGTATGTATTGTTGATCAGCTGATGCTTTTATATTATGATCATTTACTTGTGTAGTTAAAGTTTCAATGTTTTTCTTATATTCTGTATTTTGCTATAAATTAAATATTAATAATTCTAAGTAATGTAACAACATTATCCAGAAAAAAAAAACATTTTACAAATATGCATATCTTTCTACTTACAAGTTCTAATTTAATAACTTTTGCTAAACTAGAATTATAATTACATGTTACTTCTTTTGTTTGTTTATTTAATGTATCTACCTCTTGTTTTAATCTATCACATTCTTTTAATTTATCATTATATCTTTTAATTAATTCGCTGAAAATAAATAAATTAATCAAAAAGATAGTTGAAATAGGTATTGCATATGGAAAAAAAATTTAGAATGAGTACGTTAAATAACTTACTGAGTTCCAGATATTCTTTTTTTTAACAACAAATATGACTGTGTTAATTTGTCTAAATCAGATATGCCTTCCTGCAATAAAATAAATATTTATGATTAAAACCTAAAAGATTTGGGAATGGAATAATAATGAATAAAAAATCTCCTTGAAAAATATTTAATTTATAGTTAAAATATAAATTTGCATATATAAAATGCAATGTGAAACTTTCAATTTATATTGAATTTTTTTTAAATAAAACATAATATTAAATTTATAAATCTAGATATAACCTTAAACTAACCTAAATACTCAGTATTATTAGATGTAATTTAAAGAAAAAACTTTTAAGAATAAAATACTCACTTTGGCAGTTTCATTTACTTTTAAATCTGGAAGATTATTATCCATGTTAATTAAAATGACAATTAGTATTGTTTTAGATTTTTTTATATTTTTAAACGCCGATCAAAAACACGTTTATCCGGCACTCGTTTTAATGTTTACAGTAACGGTTAGAATCCCTAGATTCACTATAAAACTGATATTACAAATGAGGTATAGAATAGACCTAACTTTAAATGACATTTTTATATCATGTTTTGAAATATTCGTCACACAAAAAATTAAAATATTTGATATATTTTTTAAAATTTAAAAATTTATAATTATCATAGATAAAGAGAGGATATTGGACTATGATTAATCTCAAATTATTTTTGAAAATCTGAATTTTAATTTAAGTTCTTAAAAATTAAATTTTGCCTAGAAGTTTAGAATTCATAATTTTTTATTTTATATGACAATTAGTTTAATCTGTTCGCCGCTAGATGACACTACTATGTTCTTTCTGAAAAATTTTCTGAATAAGTTAATTAAATTATTAAAGAGAATATTTAGATTAAACATAATTAATCTCAAACTTTTTAAAAACTTAAGCTTTAATTTAAATTTTTGAAAGTTAAAAAATCGTGAAACTTGTATTTTTCTATTTCTAATGTTATTTTTATGCGATAACTAATTTCATTTATTCACCATTAGATGGCTATAATATTTCTGTGTCCGTGTTTTATACAATTTTCAGAAACTATTGTAATTATCAAATGAAAAAAATATTAAATCATTATTTTAGATATATGAATAATAAATAATATATACATAATACACATATAAAATTTATATGTAGAAAAACAGATTCGGTTTATAGTTTTTTAATCATTATAAATCGAATTTTATAATTTTATAACCAATCATGGGAAGTGAAGGAGTAGAAATGGATCAAACTTTGGCACAAAGACTTTTTTTTGAAGGTGCTACGTTAGTTATATTAAATGTACCTAGTGGCACAGAATTTGGAATAGATTTAAAATCGTGGAACACAGCAGATAAATTTAAAGGTATTAAAATGATTCCACCAGGCTTTCATTATATCCATTACAGGTAAGTTTGTTGTAGTAGTTTTTTGTTATTTTTCTTTTTCATAGTATTTATACATCTTATTATTAAAGTGTTATATATTTTTATACATTTATTTTTAAAGTGCTATAGATGAATTTGGAGAAGCAAAACCAAAAGTTGGTTTTTTTCATACATTTAAGAAATCTGAATTTTTAGTTAAACATTGGGATACAACAGAAGAAGATTTGAGTTCAGAAAGTATGATGATAGTACTATTATTATACATATAATGTAATATAATTAGTATTAAAAAGCATAAAAAAAAAATAAGATTTTTTTACTAATATAATTTTATTTTTTATTTAAAGTTGTAGAACAAGAGACAGTTGAAAGATTGAAGAATAATTTGAAAGATTTAGATAGATTTCTAGGATGTTATCCTTATGATATATGGAAGCAGTGGAAAGAATTAACAAATCATATTACTCCTTCTCTTGTTGAACGTTGTTCACCTATATGTGGGTATGTTAATTTCATAAGTTAATTATACATGTTAATTGTTAATATTATTATATTTATTTTTTTGTTAATAAATTTTGTATTTTAGCTTTGTAAGATCAGCTTTAGAATTAGAATATTGTTCTGATGCTACAAGGCCAAGAGGTGGAGAATCAAAACCAAAAAAAAGAAGAAGTGGAATTACTGTAGAAGAAAAAGAAGATGAACTTCTTCCTGATATGAAACCTAAACCTGGTACAGAACTTCGACTTTCTAAAATACCTAACAAACAATATCCAGATGGAGCATCACCAACTGAAATTACAAAATATTCTTTGGATTCAAGTTATGTATTGGATATTATTCTTAAGGGTTTAACACTGTAAGCAACTGGTTAAATATTTGATTAGATATTTATACTCTATTATATTTAATAATATTTTTCTAGTCCTATAGAGATAATTGGTGAAATACAATTGACATTTGTCTGCTTTCTTGTTGGACAAAGTCTTGATGCCTTTGAACATTGGAAAAAACTTGTCTCTCTCATTTGTGGTGCTGATTGTGCAATTTCGCAACGTCGCGCTATTTATGTTGAATTTATGAAGGCAATAGAGATTCAATTAATGCATGTACCTGAAGATATACTTTGTGATATTGTAGCTAATAATAATTTTATTTATCATAATTTACGTAAATTATTTGCAAATATTGAAATTAATTCTGAATTAGATGGACGTCTGAAATCTTATACAAAAAGATTTAGCGAACGATTATCAACAAAATTTTTATGGGATTTTTCTAATTTGCAAGAAGAAACTGAAGATGATGCACCTGTCGTTGTTTTGTTAGAATAAGCTTGTATATATAATAATTATAACTTGTATAAAAATACTGTTTGATATAAAAGTAATATAATTCTTGTATATACATACATTACTAATTTTTATGTACATATGAATAATTGGTAAATATAAAATTTTATAGATTTTATAGATTTTACAATAATAAGATCAATTTTATTTTAAAATTAACATTAAATACAATATTTTACAATGAATTAATTAAAAATATTTTATTAGATATTTGATATTTCATTTGTGAATTGCTTCATATTCTTCATTAGATTCGCTAAAAAATAAGATTAAATACATATAAAATTCATAATTTTTAATAGGAAATTAATATAAAATTTCATAAATAAAAAATATTGTCATATTATTGAATTTGCAATGCAATTTATATTTAAATATTTACCGGATGAGGTGGTCTTGGTTGTGGAATATATACTGGCCGATTATTACCGGGTTCAGCTTCCGGTTCAGCTTCACGGCGAAGACGCTATAGATAAAAATTACAAAATTTAACGTTAAAAATTATGATATTACTGAATTTGCAGTACAATTTATATTCAAATATTACTGGATGAGGTGGTCTTGGTGGTGGAATATATACTGGCCGATTATTACCGGGTTCAGCTTCCGGTTCAGCTTCACGGCGAAAACGCTATACATAAAAATTATTATAAAATTTATTACAGGATACTATTATATTATTAATTCTTCAACAAAATTTATAAATATTTAAATATTTATTACCATATTTCTTAATTCACGTTAATTATGTTAGAATAAAAACAACTTTTTTATCTTGATTTAATTAAATTAAATCTGTTTAAATTATAATACATTCGATAATTATCAAATATATATTATAAAGAATTTTTTTTTCAAACATATGTCTTTGATCTTACCACAGGTTGAGTAGGCGGATCTGGATTGGCAAATACCGCGACTATAAAGGTAATAAGAAGAATTGCTAAGCTAAAATTCTTCATGATTATCTGGATAAAAACAAAAGAGAAGAAAATAATCGTTACTTAACAATCATTAGAGAATAAGTGATTTTTATTCAAATCATAGATTATATATTTTTCAAAGTGTTTCTTAAGAAAATAATTATTTCTTACCTAATAATAGTTGTTAACCCGTAACCAATTCTATGGATGAAAAGATACTGATACTGAACATAGCGATTTCTATCGTATTTATACATATTTTTTGATTTGTCAATCTTTATTTGCATAGGAGTTCAAGGTTTGCCAATACTCATTTGGGAATCACCGTTGGGAATAACATTTATGATAAGATTTTTTTATGTTCTTTTTCTTCCTTATTTATCTTTCTGAGTTAGTCATGTCAATAAGTCATCTTTAAGTGTGACACTTTTTCTATCCTTTTCTATCAGCTTATTGTTAGAAATATTATTTATATTATTATAGTAGAAATTAAACTGTCCATCAGGTTGATACTTAATCAAAAACTTTTTCTGGTATAGATATGTATAATTGGCAAATTAATTTTAGCCAAATCATTAATAAGTGTGTATTAACAAATTAAAAATCGATAGATAAATAATTAGATGTAAATATTAATGCTTTTGCTGATATCAGCGTATCGAATCATTAATAATTAATAGAAAAATTATTCACGAAAATAATTTTATAAATTTTTTTATGAAAATATATGTCAAATCGATCGTGGCATTTTTCGTATATAATGTGTTTCAAGCTGTAAAAGAATTAAAAATTGACAAATCAAGTGACAAGTTATCTTCGTTTTTTGCTCGATTAACAGGTTAATTTGTTTTATGACATTTTTTTTAAAAGTTAGTCGAATAAAAACTACTATGATCATTTTATAGATTAACGTACGATTTTTTAAATGAAATATGTCAAGTATATATGTACTTATTATTTGTTGTATCTTTGTGAGTATTGACCGTCTGGAAATTACCGCGAATTTGCGATAAAGATTTGCAAATATAAGATTTTTTTTGAATTGAATTCTTAGATATATTTAGTTCAATAATTCAATTTATTTTCATGTAAATAATTTATAATATTAATTCGTATTTCATATATTATTGTTAAGTATTATAAAAAATTAATTAGTACCTGAGAAAAGTTACTAATTAATTTTAAAAGTTTCATAATTAAATATCTCTTATTTAATTAATATTTTTTATTAATGTATTTAATTATTATATAAATATTATTTTATTTCTTTTATTTTTATAGAAAAAAGTAAAATGTTTCCGCCCAGGATCGAACTGAGGACCTTCCGCGTGTTAGGCGGATGTGATAACCACTACACCACGGAAACTGTTGGTAAGTAATAGTAACTTTATATATATTATAGTTAAAATAATTTTATTATAACAAATAACGTTTTAATAACTATTATTAAAACGTTAAATATTGATATTTAGAACTTAGTTCCTTTTTTAATAAAAAAAGTTGGTTAAAAGGAATAAAAATATAACTGTAAATTATCTTTTATCTATTTTTATTAATTTTATACAAATTATATTAATTTAATACAAAACAATTTAAGGCATATTTTTATTTAGAATCTGTCTGCACATTAGCCTCAAGCGCCCGTTTCTCTTCTGATAACAATGAAACCTTTTCCTCATATTTTTCTCGTAAATCTCGGAACAGACAAAGTTGCGTCTCGTATTCTTTCTTTAAATCCGCATTCAATTTCACCGCAGCATCCATTTTATTAATCATTGTATTGTATCGTTCCCGTTCCTCTGAAATTCGAGCCTCCATGTCATCCACTTCTGCCTGTATCATTGCACAAGAATTAAATTAATTTTTTTTTTCTCCTTCTCCAAAAATTTTAAACGTTCATATAATTAAATAAACACAAATAATTTAAAAATGATAGTCATTCCGATCCGATATCTCACATTCATTACCTGCAAGTGCTTTACTTCCATGTTACGAATTTGCAACAGACTTCTAGTAAGAGATTCTACTTCTTTCAATGAAGCAACTTGACTGTTCAATGCGCTAATCTGTTTCTCTTGATTAGCTACAGTACGAATACGATCCTCTAATTGCAACGAAGTCTGAATAAGTTTGCTCTTCAACTGGTCTACCATCCGACGAAGCATCGCCTCGTTACCTTCACCCTTCAGCAAGGTATCGTAGGACGATTGCAATTCGGTTAACTTTTTCTCCATGCTTTCAAATTGTTTTTGATAAGAATCTCGCTCGATAGACACTTTCTGGAAACAGAAAAATTATTTAAATTCATTAAATTTATCACAATTGCTTATTACCTTTAAAAGATTTAGACTGGATCGATCTTTTTTTATTCATACCGAAACTTCATCTTTCAACTTCAATATTGTAAGTTCATTTTCATTCGTGTCATGCTGCTCATCCTCTAATTTAATCTGTTCGATCTCTGAGATAAATGATATTTTCTCTTCTACCTTCTGAACATCGTTATTCTCATTTTGTCTTGGCGAGAAAGCGAAGCAAGTGTCTCCTGCCCCTATGGACGTTTGTTGAACATTTGGCTGGAAGATAAATTTTAAATAAAATTAATAAAATCGTCCCAAGTTTATTATTTCATTTTAATTCAATAATATACATTTTTACTTACCGATTGCTCATTCTGCTTTATGATTGTTACACTATCCTTCTCTTCTTTTTCCACAAGCGAGATTTCACTGTCAACATCTTTTACATCTTCAACGACAGTCTGATTTATCTCTTTAATAGGCATTTCTAAGATCTCACTTTCTGTTTGATACAATATCTTACATTCCGTGTCTTGTATCGGTGCATCTTGTTCCTCTGTTAACGAGGCTGGATTCTCGATCTCGGTTTCGTTTTTTACATTATCTGTTATGGACGTTGCCGATTCAGATAGATAGGAGTGTTGATCAATTACCGATTTGAGCGTCTCGTCTGACATTTTTATCTGCAAGAAACGTCACTTTTATACATATGCGTACGTAGCGTGTAAAACAGAGGAAAAACGAATTCGTTTCTAATATATTTTCACTGTGTTCATTGTTATCTAAATTACTGGCCGAACAATTTTCTTATGCACAAAATAATATTGTAATATTATATATTTTTATTATTTGATTTTATTTAGGGTAATGCGCGCGATCGGAGTCTAAATTTTTTTTATTTAAATTTAGTCCTAATATCTGAATTCGTAGCTATGAATCTTGAGGTACGTTAATAAAATCAATTTTTTAATTACCAAAAAGAGATAAGATACAATGGGTTAAGTCTTAAAAATTGATGTTTTTCTTTATAATAATGAAAATTTCTATCACCTGAAAGAAAACGACTGGATATCCAGGACTAACAGAAAGTATGATTTATTTTTGGACATTGTCCGCTTGATTCTATTTTAAACTATCATTTAAACGTTTGCCAGTCTAACATTCAACGAATTACAAGCCGTATTGCATTTAAATCGAGTACATAAAACTTGTCATTGATTGTTCGAATTATATTATCGATTATACGGTTATTTATGACGAAATATATGCGTGTATTAGAATCTGTTTGTACACAATTTTATTTCGAAATATATTACATATCACGCAATGTGGATCGGAATTAAAACATTATTTCTACAAATGAACTCAAGTATAATTATGAAAAGTGCAAAGACAAAATGATTTTATGAAATAATTATAAAAAAATATTTGAATTATTTTTTGAAAAATTATTAATTGTATTAAATTGTTAAATATTTCTTTACTTTTATATAATTATAAGAAACTTTTATTTGTATGGAAATTCATTAACGTAGTTACATTCACCACAGTGTCGTGCTCGAGGCATTTTCTTCCTCGGTAACAGAAATTTTGAAACGAATTTTATGGTAAATACGTAAAGAATTTTTATTTTTGTAACGAGAATAAGATTTTTAAAGAACGTATGTCAATATTTCGAATTGTTATACACATGTTATTTTAATATGCACGAAAATTAATCACATAACCTCATTTATGCCATACATTATTTTGCTTATATTTCTTTCTATGCTCTATATAGGTACATATAAATACATTATTTTTACGTAACATATTTATATGAATAAAATAAATATGAATAGAGTGTTAAAAAAACATTACTATCAGAATAAAAATTATAATAAACTATGTGGTTAAAGGTTATTTTTAATAAGCATCTTTATTGCACTTTATATTGAATCAAAAAATTTAATATACATATAGATTAAATATTTACACTCCCTTTTTATTAATTGTTAAATTTTTTTTTCTAATTATTCGTAATATTTTCATAATATATATAATTTATTATATCATAATATCGATTATTTTACATATATATTAATGTGTATATATATACATATATATAGACAATAAAATAATGATAACTTTATTATTATTATTAAATTATTTATTATTTTATGAGTTTAAATATTAAGAAATATTCTTTTATATAGAGTATCAATTGAGGAATGGAAGAATACGCAAGAGAACCATGCCCATGGCGTATAATAGATGACTGTGGTGGTGCATTTACCATGGGTGCCATTGGGGGAGCAGTATTTCAAACTATTAAAGGTTTTCGTAATGCACCCAGTGGAATAAACAAAAGAGTTTTAGGAAGTCTTACAGCTATTAAACAAAAGTCTCCTATTATTGCTGGAAACTTTGCACTATGGGGTGGTATGTTTTCCACTATAGACTGCACATTGGTTCATCTTAGAAAAAAAGAAGATCCATGGAATTCCATTATTAGTGGAGCAGCCACAGGTGGAATATTAGCAGCAAGAAATGGTTTACCAGCCATGGCTGGAAGTGCAATTATTGGAGGAGTATTATTGGCTTTAATAGAAGGTGTAGGAATATTTATTACTCGTCTCTCTGCAGAACAATTCAAGCCACCATCATTTACTGAAGATGCAAATCCTTTAAGACAACAAGGTCATCCATCGTAAAGCATATAAATATTTAGACATTTTAAATTACACACCACTAATTAAGTACAAATGTTTCATATTCTCTGAAACGATAGTAGTTGAAAGCTATCATTGCCAGTACATCAAATTTGTATAGACAATTCTTCAACTCCTTGATTTAAGAAATAATAATAGTTTGGTTTTTATTTAATGCTGTTTTTGTACTTTTATTTAATTGTTAAAACGTATAATAAGGTAAAACATATTAAGACATAGAAATTTATTAATATGAAGTATATTTATAAAATGAATTAATATATTTTTCAGTTGTAAACAAATTTATCAAACTGACAAAATTATTAATAACAATGTATGTATAAAATGTATAGTTTTTAATACTTTTAAGTTACAAAAATGATTCATTCTAAATATCATCTTCATCTTCAATTTCTTCCTCAAAATGTTTAAAGGCTGATGCTACAGACAAGTCTAATGATTTGTTTGTAGAGTCTTGTTGAATATCATTTTCAGGTTCACATGAAGAGTCTTCTGTTGTGCCTTTTAATGATTTGTTCATTAAGCCCAATAAATGAAGTTGTTCCACCTAAATATTTTATATTATATATAAAATAATTTTTGTATTAAAACGAATGAAAAAAACAATTTTAAATATCATATTTACCTGTAATCTGTGTACTTGATCATCAATTTTTGTTAATATCTTTTGAAGAAGTTCTTTCTCCTGTTTTAATTCTCTTTGGAAAGCTAGTAACTCATTGGCACTTATTTTTATACTATCCTCCAAATCGTCGGTTTCTTCCATTTTTGTTGACTATTCGATCATATTCTCTTCCGAAAATTTATTTTACTTAATTTGAAGGTTATGGCACAGACGAAGTATACGATAGATTAATGTTTAAAAATCGAACTTTATATTCTATGGTCTGAAATATCGATTGTGTAAAAGAATGTTTGGTATGCCCTCTATGATTTAGAGTGGTAGGTGTAAGAATTATATTTAATTCAATCACGAAATTTAGTAAAATTTTAAAAAGATTTTAAAAATAATTTCTTTAATATTCTTTTATAAATATTTTTATGCTTATTTATATTATATATATTGGATTTTACTCATAAATTTTTTAATTATTAATTGCTAATGAATAGTGTTTGAATTGCAATGTTACCAATCTTGCGTATATATCATTTTTAATATTTGATCATATTTAAAATTCGGTATATATATTTATAAAGTTGATCAGCCTAAATTTCAAATATAAAAAAAAGTGTGTATGCATTGGGAAATTGAATTTGGGTTTCAAATAATGAATATATCATAAAAAAAAATACCATCATAATTAGTTAAATCATTTTATTTCGGAATGGATTTTATAAGTTTTCTTTTGTAATGTATTAATATTTTATTCTTTCTATAGAATTCTAAATAACACTACAGAATAATCACAATTTATTATATCCAAATTCATTTTAGGTACAGAATTTTTAATAATCACAATATAATCTATATAACTACGATTATATTAATTCGTTTTAACTTTTAAATGGTCAAATTAAATTAAATAGAATCAATGCAAATCTTGTACCTATTTTAAAATAAACTCATCATACATACATTTAATTATTTTTTTATCTATATATTTAGATAAATTTAGACTGCCTACAATGATTTTTTTTTCTTATTGTTTACTTTAGTAATATTTTACTGTATAGTGATGTGCATTGACGTACATTGGCATTCATACAAGATTTGCATTAGATTTTATGTACATATACATACAGAAGATATTCAAATTGGGAGCACAACTATTGTTATCATGTTATCATTACAAATAAATTATAATCTATTATATAATACAAATAATAATACGTTTACGAAGATTTTTATTTTTATCAATATCTAATTTTTTCTTTGAAAATGTAAATTTTCATAGCAATTCATATTAATTAGTGTTAAGGTATTTAATAATGATAGATAAAATAAGAACAAGTGAATAAAAAATATTTAAAATAATTTTAATATAAGAATGATAACATCAAACAATAATTGTCTTCACCAAAAAAAAAAGATTATTTTCTAGATGCCATTAATCATAAGCATCTAAGAAAAATATCTTCGTAATTTTTTTTTTTTTTTTTTTTTTTTAGTTATGCCGTGATCAATATCATTGGTATTTATAATTATATATAAATATTGTTATACCATTTACACAAACTGAGGTATATGGTAACCTTTCGGGAATTCTGCTCACACTGTCTTTACAGTATATAACTCAATCAAAAATAAATAGTTCACATAAGTAGTACATACATCGTTCAATTTCTAATCTATGTTCGATTAATTTTGATAATTTTCAAGATCGCCAAAAGACTATTATATATTATTATAATGATTTCGTTCTAGTAAAATTGGAAATACTATAATTGCTGCTGCAGCAAGAAAATTCAAGTCAATGTAAATTCAAGTCACGTGATTTAAAATAACATTTTTTATTCTTTTAGTTTTCACCAATCATCGTTAAGTCGTAGGTCATATAGACGTTCGTTGCTGCAGCAAGGAACGCGTCAATCTTTTGAGGAAGAGGGTGGTGATTCCCGACTGTTATCGCTTGTAAAACTAGATAAACCGAGTCCACTGGTTTCATGACTCGAAGAACTAGTTGGCGAATTACTTGAACTTCTGGCGCCACTGAGTGAGCTTATAGTCGTACTCTCAGCTGGTATTAAACCTTCCTTCATTCTCTTCTTTTGTTTCATCCTTCTGTTTTGGAACCAAATTTTCACTTGTGTTTCGTTTAGTTGCAACGCTGACGCGATTTCAATACGTCTCGCTCTAGTCAGGTACTTGTTGAAATGGAATTCTTTTTCGAGTTCTGTAAGTTGCTTGTTCGTGAAGTTGGTTCGGCCGGTATTGTTGAAGCTACCTGCAATACCGGCCATAGGTCCACCGGTAAGACAATTCACTGGACCGTTCGCCGTAGTGGCGTACGGAGACGCGTTCCCACCAGTGCTGCCGCCATATTCTCCAACATTTGGATTTGTCTTTGCTGCTGCAACAAATTTAAATTCTTCTTTTTATTTGAAAAACTTTTTTACAAGGTATATTCAAAGATATTTTTCATATTTCAAATAATTCCTTTTATATTTCATATTCATATTTCATATTTGTAAAGATTTGTCTCTTTTAATCTAACCATAACACGAAAAAACAATTTGTAATAAAAATTGCTAGGAGACAGTCGTTTTGTCGTAAATATTTATAACAATTTAAGTTATAAAATTCTAAATAATTAGATAGATATTTTATTATCAATTTGTACGCGTTAGAAGAATTTAATATATCCAACTTAAATTCATCTTAATCTTAATTACAGATGTCAACGCCCTTCGTACGTGTCAAACGTGTGCAAGAAAGAGGTTAAAAGTAATCTATACGGAATGAAACTCAACTTTGGTCCACCAATCGACAACCGTTTGTTGTCCAACACAGCTGGTCAGTGTTCTAAGGAGTGAACCTGTCCACCCTCTACCGAAGACCGATAGGGTTAAGCCCTAAATCTGGATCAAATTGCATCAGCTGTTGTCAAAGGTAAGTTGTTACGCCATTTTATTTAACCCGTATTTATCAACTGACCACAATGTTCATTTTGAAATCATTCTCAATTTATGTATATACGTAATATGTTATTATTACGTATTTTCTTCCACATATTTGATATCGATTGGATCATAAATTCGTATCGAAAGTTAAACTTGAAATTTGATACGAATTTTGCGAATTTTCTCAAATTGTTTACGCGTGTGTTCATTAAATATTAAAACACTTTAAGAAACAACGAAATGCAATGAAATAAAATGTAGCGAGGAATGCGTTCCGATAAAAAAAAAGGTGGCGTCACTTACGCATTATGGAAATTAGATTGTTATTTAGTCTACCGGTATGTGGAAGTCAATTTACTTAATGGCACAGGGTGGACGAAACTGTCAAGCCACCGCCTTAGAGCCACATCTTCTTTTTCACTCGTGTTTGCCTGTATTGCTTCATTCCTCCCTTTCATCATCTTTTTCATATTTTATCCGACATTATTACAACTGTTTAATCTAAACTCAAACATAACCTAAATCCAAACTTAATCTAACTAAAGTCAATCAATTTATCTCGAGAGAATAGAGAACGAATAGATCTTATCTCGCGTATTTCTCGTATAATTCCGAAAACATCAGTCACTTAAAAACTGTGTCCGGAACTTGGCCGCCGGCCATTAAGCTCACGCATCTTCAAGTCGTATAATCGAGTTGGACAAGTTCTATTAGTCCACGAGCCGATGTGGTACAATGAAATGTATTTCGTTTTCGCGACTCATTCATCAATTTAGCACTTTAACGGGAGGACAGAGCTACCGTTGATTTTCCGTACGTCAGTAGATCGACCAAAGTCTCTATACACATCAGTGATCATTAATCTCGCATCAAAGTTCCTTTCGAATCTTGGTTATTGCATTTTCGGAAAACATTCTAACGTTAATAATAAATTTTCATTTTCGACGAAACGAGAAAGTTATTGGTCTAATCTAAAACGTATTTACACGAAATAGAATAGAAAGAAAATATGTGTCAAAAAGAAAACATGTCATTTTTGTATTAAATTCTAGAGAAATCTTGTCAATCGTATATGATCAGAGGATAAAATCTATAAAATTCTACGTACAGTTTTGCTACGGTAGCCATGTCTGATTTCATTTCTTGAAAAGATAAATCCTAGAGTCGGATTAAAACATGCTTGAACGTGAATAAACAAATCACTTTCGATTAAGCATTACCACGATATACCGGTAATTATGACGTTCTCTCGCGACGGACGTTAATAGCATCGATTAAAATTATTAGCACGCTTAACGACACTTAAATTTTATGGCACGATCGTGTTGCCTTTTAGAGTTTATTGTTGACAATAGTTACCGAGATGTAGGATTAAACTAGAAATAAGATTACATCTTTTATTTATTTATTTTCTTTTTATTGCTCAATCCATTTTCTTTTTTAATTCATCGCTTTTCCCCTTCTCATTCCAATTTATTATTATTTCACATTTCTTATTAGATTATTAGATTGCGAATTTTCATGCGAATTAAAAGAAATAACGTTGTTCTTTTCAATTTTTCCTTCTTCTTTAATGTTAAACGGATTTAATGCGATGGATTCGACCGAGTAATTCGTACGTGGAGAAATTTTTATAAAAAAAAAAAAAAATTCAATAAATTACACGATATTGTCACTTTGACAATATTGAATCACAATTTAAAAAACGATCACGTAGATAAAAATTTGTTGCGATAAAATTTGAACGATACGAGAATTATATTGATTTTTCCAAATAATCTATCCACATCACTTTTCTTATAATCATTCGCAGCCACAGTTTGTCATCGTTCGAATTTTCAACTCGAAACAACAAAATTTCGTTCGAGACGAAGTTTCGCGAAATATTTATATACTTTGGAGAGAAGAATCGAATCGAATCGTAACATAAGAGTTCAGGCAACGGTGAGTCGACAGTGAGCGGCGCTTAATGCTCGAGCACGGATGTAATTCCCTCGTAACACACGTTCTTACCCACACTTGTGCATAATATACCTGGTCGAAAACACATGCGGCCGCGGTTTCGAGGCATGCATGCCAGCCTTCGTTCAAAGGCCCCCCTTCCCTCCCCGATTAAATCTCACCTGGTGGCTTAATATTATTATTTTACTCGTGGCACGTCTGTGTGCACGAGTGAAAACGAGCGAGAGAGGGCGGGCAAATTAGAGAGAGAGAAAGAGAGAGAGGGATAATGCGGCGGGTGGATAAAAGCAAATGGAAACACCGGCCGAATATTGTTCACGATCTTTGCGACCGTGTATGGAACGGTAATTCCAGTTATTTAACCCTTTCCTCCACGTCTCGTGAGTAGAAACTGTTCCTACAATAGTTTCCTCCCCGAGTTCCAGTTTCTCTCCAGATTTATATATTCTTTAATATCACGTATCGGACAGATCATCGATACGAATTTCACGATTTATATTCAATTAATCGAATTATAGTCGAATCGCAGTTGAAATTTCTTTTCTGCAATAAATAATGTTAAGGTGTTGTACGAAGCACGCTATTTGATCTATTTTCAATCAAAGGCGTAATCAAAGGTGGATTAATTATACAGGTTGGATTTTTTCCTTTTTTTTTTTTAAGCGAGAGAATTAAAATGAAATAAATTTTAACATGCTAATTATCCTTTGATTAATTGCTCGCATATTTTATTCGCGACCTGTTTGATTTATTCAATGAAGGAAGTAAAGCGGGATCGAGTTCTATGAAAACCCATTCTCGATCCGGTTCTTCGAGGAAGCGTTTATTAATCACGTAGAATCGCATCGTTCG